CAACACATCCGTGTGGCGTAATTTTGTCGAAGTCTGTGAAACATAGATGCACGTCCTTCTGCATTTGTATTGCTCTTTCTGATAACATTCTGAGCATGAATATTGCGTTCGTTGTTCTGGTGTCTTTAACAAACCCCCATTGTTCTCGTCCTATCTCTGGCCTGATTCTGCAGCGCGCTTTATGTTGTTCATGATGACGGTCGTCTTTGAATAGAGAATCCAGAGGTTAGCAGTGTGGCACCATTTACCAGGGCAAAAAGAAAAGAAAGGAAAAAGAGAAAGGAAAGAAAGGAAAAGAGAGGCGAGACTTAAGCGTAGATGATAAAATAAACCACCCACGACCAGGGACAATTGACAATGTTATTTTGATAAGTAGCAAATGGCGAAAGGTGTCATTACCATCGCAGAAAAATTCTAAGTGGATAAGGGAATCGACTATGTTCTGGCGACGAACTTGTGTTATCGGGGATAGATAACAGCCGCTTAATGCTGGAAAAACATCTAATTAGCAAACCACAGACCGACTAGCTAAGAAAAGTCCAATTGAAAATGTTATTTTGATAATTAACAAAGAACAGGTGAAATACAGGGCTTTGGATAGATAAGAAAAATGAACTGTGTCGTCTGCTAAGCCGCACACGAAGTAACGGCTGACCGTTTTTTGACAAGACATCCATGGGTATTAGAGTTCGGTTGTGATAACAAAACTATGTTATCAGAAATTGGCACCAAGCATGATTAGAACAATGGAACTGTTTTTTCGAGAGGACGGTGTTTTGCTGGACGACCACCCATTTTGATAATTAGCGAAGATCTGACTGACGAAGTCCAGATGAAGAATTGAGGTTATCACACCACTGGTCGCATTGTTCTGTTGGCGGCCAGAGAAGGTGAGACCTGCGATTAAGGAAAGAAAAGGAAAAGAAAAAGATTTTTTTTTTTTTGAGCAAGATATATTTTTTCTTCCTGAAACAAAGCTAGCTGGATCGCATACACCCTGCTGGACATCATTGGCCGAGTGGTGATCACGTGACGCAAGGAGGGAAGCCGCCACCGCCCACCTAGAGGATGGGTATGAGAGGTTGCTACGAAGAAGTGAGGAGGACCGTTGAGTAGAGTCCGGCAGAGTTGAGTGAAGTTGAGTTGAGTAGAGTTTCCCGGAGAGTTTCCCGAAGAGTTCAGCGGAGAAGAGTGCCTCGCGGCTGACTAAGATTCGCGCAGCTTCCGAACTCATCTTCAATCCAAGAACGATTATTTTGAAGAGCGACTTAGATCCAGACCACCAAAATAAGTTTTTTCGACTTTCGCCTGAAGACACACCAAGAACCAATTTCTTGAAGAACAGACAACTTAAAGTGTTAAAACTCGCCTAACAAAAGAACAACGTGTCACAAGCCATATAGCGGGTCGGGAGATAGACGCAGTGCTATGTATCCAGCAACTAGACATAAAGTTTTGTTATCCTTTTTTCTTTGATACCTTGAACTTTTGAGTTATCATTTTATTTTATTTTATGCATATTTGTGCGGTATCACCCTCGGTTGAACTCGATTTGCATTACGGCCCCAACTACTGATTAATTTCGTCTGCCTAATATCAATTCAAAACGTGGGTAGGCAGACTGGAGATCAACGCAGTTACTTTGGTAACCAGACGTTGGAAGTGAGTTGGGAACGACGAGGCTGATATTGAATCTAACCAGATTCCCATCCGAATCACCAAAAGGTTAGAACGTCACATTTGGGTGCCGCGACCGATACCAAGCCAGTTGGTCGTCACAGGACGGGACAACACGACTGACGCAAGCAGGCGGACGTCACGTTTGGAGCGGCGACACCCGAACGAAGCAGCGAGGAGCGAGTGAAGGCTGTGTTTAGGGACGTCACAGCAGTGAATATTTCGAAGATAGTAGAAAGGCGTAGTTCAGGTTAGCAGTGGATATCCAGGTAAAAGTAGCAGAGCGTAGTTATTCCTTCGGTTCCTCTTCGTCTGACAAGCTGGCACTTGACATTCGGATAGAGTAAACAAAATGGCCGCCTTTATACACGACGGATTGAATATTCTACGTCCTCTGATTGGTTAACCTTCTATTGGTAGCCCATAAAATGAGTCAAGTCATCGGGACTGGCTCGCTAGTACACAATATACACAAAAAACTGCAACACTTTATTCATCCGAATACAGATGATGAATTTTGTTACGTGGCTTATTAGGCTTATTGTTCGGTGGAGTTCACATTGGTTTGCGCCTGGTTTCCTAGGCATTCGTCTGAATATAGATCTGCTGTGATCATCCGGTATATCCCCACTGTTGTAGATGTCATTTATTATTTCTGTGATCTTGTCTATGCCAAAGTCATCTACGGCTGTCAACATTTCCGTTACAATTCCGTCCGGCCCTGCCGCTTTGTTTCAGTTCAATTTGGCCAGTGCAGATTCTAATTCTGTTTTCAGAATTTCAGGTCCATTGGAATTTCTGTGTATGGTGGGTTATTATTATTATTAACATTATTTTGCTTAGATTCTTGAACAGAAATTGTATTCGTTGTAAATATTCATTACGGTTTAGTTTTTTAAATGTTATTATATTCCATCCCACCACAAACAAATTGTACATACGGGAACTAGTTAGGACGTTGGCTGTTGTAAGAATGATGAGTAAGAATGTGTTCACTATTTACATTATTCTGATTATTGTCCTCATCTTTCTAGCTATATTTCTTACAACGTTTCGGCCTTTCAGTATCTGTCTATATTTCTGAGATGAGGTATTATGTACACTATTTACATTATTCGGACTAATGTCCTCATCTTTGTCGCCATATTTATCACAAAGTTTCAGCCGTTGTACGCTCCGGCCTTCTTTAGGCGGTTGGAATATCGAACTGAACCCTTTATTTCGCTCACTGGTGTAGACTGTTCTAGTTCCACGTGTCATGTCTAATGGATGCTAGCTATCAATTATTTTCTGTTAATTCACTTCTCCAAGTTCTCCACTGCCTTAACCGGATACTGAACTCACAACTCTTTGGGTTCTGTCACTGGATCCAACTAACGCCTTTATCCACTGTGCCATGTGTCCTTAAAGATATCTTTGTATGAATTTCTGGGACTTATAAGAATGTGTTGTTTGGGTGTAAGGAATACTGTGGTATATTTGGGTGAGTAACCGTAGTAAACTAGCTAAGTTTAAGATAATACAGATTTGAAGACCTTATCCCCCGTTTTGGCCTTGTGACATATTTTTGTATTAAAAGGAAATGAATATTACTTTCCTCTATGGTACCTACAGTGGAGCAGATTATGCAAACCATCGTGCAAATTGTGAGATAAGCATAAAATTTGGCATAATTGTCCTTGATATGTCACTTTTTCAGAAAAACGTGCTAGCCTCGAAAAAATACAATATGGCTGTCATTTTTCAAGATGGCTGCCAAACGGGCCTCTGTTTCATGCATTTTGCTCAAAAATCATAGTGCAAATTGTGATATAAACATGAAATTTGGCAGGAGTGTTCCTTGTAGGTAGGTTATTCAGGTGAAAGTGGTAGCCACTAAAATAATTCAATATGGCTGCCTTTTTTCAAGATAGCCGCTAAACGGGCCTCTTTTTCATAGTTTTACTCAAAAACCATATTACAAATTGTGATATTAACTTGAAATTTGGCGGGAGTGTTTCTTTGCGGGTCTGTTTTCAGATAAAAGTTCTGGCATTGTGAAAACTCAACATGGCGGCCATTTCTTCAAGATGGCAGCCAGTGCCTCATAGTGGCAGTTCATCGAGGAGGCAGAGTAGGGCAGTTAATTGATAAGGTCGAGTAGTGGCAGTTCATCCAGGAGACAACATTCAAATTGAAATGTGAGGACATATGAAGAGAATGTATGTCGCTCAGGGCACACTGGTGACAGACACTGCTGTGGAACTCAGCATGGGGTTCAATGTCAGCTAAACATGGAGTTTAGTATCCCAAATTCTATCTAATAAGCCCCTAATATATTAGATAGACGTACCTGAATGGACAGGTTGTGCCAACGCGGGAGAACCGAGCAAAAGATAACAGGGGCTTTTGAAGTTACCTGGATAGTGTACAGATCGCACGGGATTCAAATGGCATTGGATGAACGATCGGGTAAGTTGTACGGCAATTGCGTGAACCTAGTTGTATCCCATACATCAAAGTGAGCGAACGGTGGTAAAAGGATAAACCCTCGGCCGTTCCTGTCAAATGATGGATAAAGATTCCACATCGAAAACTGATTGGAGCAAATGCTGCCTTTGTCAGCAGGAAAAAAGCAAAGAAACTCTCATTTCACCTCTTAGTTCATTCCAGATGAAGCAAGATAATGCTGGATACAGTAATATTGCAAGAAATGTACCATTGTTTTATGCCATCATTGATATACCGATAGCAATTGACCCATCAAGGCTTGATGAAGGTGAAGTTATAGAAACCACTCTGGTTCGAAATGGAGCTAAATATCATCAGAGTTGCCGATTGGTGTTCAACAACACCAAGTTAGAAAGAGTGTTACAAATTCATGACGGTCGTCCTCGAGTATAGAATCCAGAGGTTGGCAGTGAATATTTCGGAGACAGTAGGAAAGCGTAGTTTAGGTTCGCAGTGGATATCGCAACGAAGTAGCAGAGCGTAGTTCTTCCTTCTATCATGTTCGCCTATCAAGTTGGCACTGGTCTTTCCGGTAGGGTAAACAAAGATGGCCGCCTTTATACACGACGGATACAATGTTCTGCGGCTTCTGATTGGTCAACCTTCTATTGGTAGGCTATAAAGGGAATTAAGTCATTTTGACTAACTCACTAGTTAAACACACATATATACACAAAAAACTGTAACAAAGAGCAGAGCAAAGAAGAGCGGTCCCGAGCACCTCCGGAGCAACAGATGAACCTCGAAGCAACAGACGAAAATCTGCAGACATTCCAAAAGTGGAATGTTTCTTCTGTGAAGAAGAAGATGTTATTTCGAATCTGCAAGAGGGGATGACAGAGAGACTAAATGAACACCTCAATCAATGTGCCAGGAACCTGAACAATGGAAAGTTCCTTGCAAAGTTAAGTGGCGGAGACGTTGTTGCCCTGGAGGTTAAGTACCACCTTCGATGCCTCCAAAAGTTGTACGATGCTGAAAGAGCGTACCTCAATTCCCTAGAGAAAGCCGAGAGTAGTGATCCAGGGAAGGATTTATACCCAATGGCCTTTTCAGAACTAGTTATCTACATCAAGGATAACAAAGTCACCATCACGGAAACAGCACCGGTTATATTTCGGCTTGCTGACCTAGCCTCACTCTACAAGCTTCGCTTGGAACAGCTTGGAGTTGATTCCCCGAATGTCCACTCTACCAGGTTGAAGGAACAGCTACTTGCTCGGATTCCAGAACTTGAAGCCCATAAGAAGGGACGTGATGTGCTCCTTGCCTTCAAAGCGGACATAGGACCAGCGCTCCATGAAGCTAGCCAGTATAGCAATGCTCTCCATCTATCTAAATCAGCAGATATCCTGAGAAAAGAAATGCTCCAGCACAAGACAAAATTCAGCAGCGAGCTCAAAGATGGCTTTGGTGTGGAGGCTATCCCACCTGCACTTCTTCAGTTCGTGTGCAGCATTGAACATGGTGTTGATATAAAATCACATCTGACGCACGGAATAGCGAAGTCAGACTTAGCTATTGCTCAGCTTTTACAGTTCAACTGCTACTCAAAATGTAGAGAAGGATTGACAATCCAAATACATTCTAAAGACAGTGAGACCCCTTTTGCTGTCTATGTTGAGTTGAAGGTGTACGCCAAGACACGAAAAAAAAGAGTTGATTGACAAATTCCATGAGCATGGACTAAGCATATCCTATGACAGGGTATTAGAGATATCCGGCAAGTTTGGTGAAACTGTCATAAAACAGTATGTCGAAGAAGATGTTTTGTGCCCACCAGTGCTGGGAAAATGGCTGTTCACTACGTCCGCTGTCGACAACATTGATCACCATCCCACGGCCACCACAGCTAGCACGTCATTCCATGTTCTAGAACCCAAGTAAGGAAAACAGAGGAGAACAGCGGGTTTCACCGGAAATAACAGACAGTAAAACAAGAAAGGTTCCTGAGCTTCCAGAGCATTATACAAACATCGCGCCAGCCTACTTCAAGAAGAACAAACCCCGCCTCAGCAGATGAAGTATTACTGCCTGACCCCAGTCTTTTCCAAAGGAACATAAGAGTCGAATACGAATGATTGGAAAAAGTTCAAGGTACCACCGATGTAGATGATGAATCCAATATAACATGGTCAGCTCATCATTCGAGCCAGAAACGGACTAGCGAATGTGAAACCAGCATCACTTCCTTGCTACTTCTTCTCCGAGATCAAGCTCACGTCGTTGCCACAATAAAGCATGCCATGAAGAAAGTAAGGGAAGCTGTAGCATTTCTTAACCCAGGGCAAACTCCCGTCCTGGCAGCTGATCAACCACTCTATGCCATGGCAAAAGAAATACAGTGGTACTGTCCAGAGGAATATGGAGAAGTTTGTGATCATGTTTGGTGTGCTGCACATTGGGATGACAGCACTGAAAACTATTAGGTCGATGCTAGCAGACAGTGGATGGACAAATGCACTTGTTGAAGCTAATGTAGCCTCTTCCGGAACTGCAGATTCATTCCTGTTGGCAACTAATGTCACTAAAAAAACGTCAAGCACATCAGGTCACAGCATGCAGTTTGTTTCAGCTCTTGAAGAAAGTCTACAGTTCGTACCTTGCCGAACATTCTGATGGCGATGAGGAGGCCTCCAGCTTTGTGGAATGGTGTGATAGTCGAAAGAAGGAGAGTCCACAGTCCGCATTTTGGTTCTCTATCTTGGACATGGAATTGACAATCTTAACACTGGTGCGAGCATTTAGAGAAGAGAGTTTCAATCTGTATCGAGAATCACTGTCGGAACTGATACCCTACCTCTGCCAACAACAATGTCAACTATGCAAGATGGATTCCTATTCATCTGCGTGATATGATATCATTAGAGAAGCAGTACCCCGAGGTCGCCAGACAATTCCACAATGGGAATTTCGTGGTTCATAAAACTGACAGGAAGTTCTCCGCAATGGCAATCGACCAATCCCATGAACAAAACAATGCCGTCATCAAAGGGGATGGGGGAGCTGTTGGTCTGACAGAGGATCCATCAGCTCTTCGGAGGTGGATGGTAGCTGGTCCAGAAATTAGCAAATTCGTTGTTGACTATGAAGCCATATCAGGAACAAAGAGGCGAAGAAAGGAAGTCATCACCATGAGCTTAGAAGGCATTCTTTGAAAAGGTTCAGCGGCTTACAAGTGTGATAGAAGAAATGGACGATCCATTTTCGGATGAGTCTACTGTCGCTTGACACTAAGGACATTGCTGATCCTACAGCAGTGCTGCTGGTTGCATTTCATCTGGAGAAAGGGAAAGAGCAATTCCAAACATTCTTGGATAAACTCAAGACCGTCAGTCAGCATTTCTATCAGCCAATCAAACGGAATAATAAAGACTTCTTCAAAACATGCACAGATCCAACAGAGAAATCAGAAACCCAGCTACTAAAGGAGGATTGTGAACTGTTCTCCCGCCTTTTCATCTCCTGCCAAAGCAGAGGGTTTGGTTTACCAGAGTTTTTCAAACATGAGAACCAATCTTTCCCTCTGTCACTCAGCAAGCGTGGGAAACTACATGTCGCTACCAAGTCTGATCTCGTGGAGGTCCTGAAAACCAAGGTGGAGCTTCCAGACACGAAGCCAGAAACTGACGTACTCATAGTAGATGGTGCAATTCTAGTTAATACAGTAACGCCTAGGATAACGAAGACGTTTGAAGAATATTCCAAGAAGGATATTCTTCCTAAGGTGCAATACTACAGTAGCAATTACAAGAGGACAGATATCATTTTTGATGTCTATCACGAGTCTAGTCTGAAGTCTGAAGCACGATCAAAACGCGGGAAAGCTATCAGGAGAAGAGTAACGGCAAAGAGCAAAACACCGATTAATTGGAAGAGCCTTCTAAGGGACAGCGCCAACAAAAGAGAGCTGTTGAATTTCCTTGCTGACGAAGTGGGTAAAATGACCACAACGAATGAAGTAATTGTAACACGAGAGGAAAATGCTCTACCAAGTTCCAGCCATCCTGATACTAAGACAGACGAATTGGCTCCTTGCACACATGAAAAGGCAGATACTAGGATATTTTTGCATGTCTGGAATGCGGCTAAGGATGGACACAAGTCTCTCATGATTGAAGCTAATGACACAGACATTGTAGTCATAGGCTTAAGCCTGACGTCTTCTTTCACTGCAATAGGCATAGAGAAAATGTGGATCGCCTATGGCAAGGGGGAGCACACTCGATGGATCCCAATACACGAACTTGCATCTTCTTTGGGACCGGAAAAAATCGAAGGGATACTATTCTTCCATGCGTTTTCAGGATGTGATTTGTTATGTGGATTCAATGGCAAAGTGAAAAAGCATGGTAGACATGGAATGTTTGCAACGATGCCTCGGCTACATTTGCGAAACTCAGTCACTGTCATCCTGAAATTAATCAGTCTGATCTACAAGTTCTAGAGAGATTTGTTGTTCTGATGTACAACCGGTCAAGTGCTAATACTACAGTAGATGAAACAAGGTTAGAGCTCTTTGCTAGGAAGCAGAGGTCATACGAATTAATCCCGCCAACACAAGGAGCGCTAAAGGAACATGCCAAACGTGCTACCTTCCAAGCAGGACATATCTGGGGGTAGTCCGTCGTTCGTGATCCAGAGCTTCCGTGTCCTTCCAAGTGGGGATGGTTGAAAGACGGTAACAAATGAAAAGTTACTTGGAACCAATTTCTAAAAGCTGTCGTGAATTGAGAAAGTGCGGATGTAAGATAAAATGTGGTGGAGGACGATGCAAGTGCTCAAAGGTTGGAACAGGCTGTACTCCGCTTTGCAGTTGCTCTTTTGAGATTTAGTAAACAACAACGAATGAACTTCGGGCTGGACTTTTGTCGCCGGTTCTTGGAAGGTTAGCCTATTGAAATTCAAATGCAGAGAGTTGTAAGGATATATATGACCTGTAGATATTTTCCCAGATATGGACAATTTTCATGCTGGGTATTAACACAGAAAGTAATTTTGATATTGAATTGGACATTTCATCAGGATTGTAAATGTCGACATTAAATCATTTCATGTAATTATCCACCGTAGTGTATGGGCGTTATATCATGCCAATCAATTGAAACAGTGCAATCATTGGGTTCTCTCACTCGGATTTAGAATTGATACGGCAATAAATAAAATATATTTAATCAAATTCAACTAATTTAATGATTTCAGATCAAAATCATAAAACAGAGGCCCGTTTGGCAGCCATCTTGAAAAAGTAGCCACCATATTGTTTTTTTTTTTTTTCGTGGCTAGCATTTCATCTGAATGAGTGGTATGGCACCTTGCATTTATTGGAAATATTCATAGAAATATGAGTTAATTTTTTCTTATTCAGTTTATTAAACAGGTTGTTAATTTTTTTTTCTTTAAAACGGAAAATAACTGGGTTGAAAATAATTCACTAAGAATGTACTAAACGATCCTAAAGCAAGGAAAAAGAAAGAAAGGAAAAAGGAAGAAAGGAAAGATAATAACAAAAGGGGGGAAAGAAAGGAAAAGACATGATATCAAAACAGGCCGCTTGGACCAGATGTCGGTCAGAGCCTCTGACTGACCTTTAATTTTTGTTGAAAGAATAGAATGGAGATATCGGTCGCGAGCGCTGACCGACAGTAGAAGAACTTATCAAAATAACGAAAGGTAACTTTTAAATTAGAATAATAGAAATGAATTTTACTTTAGTCAGAGAGAAAGTGTCTCTTTGTTTATACGGAATTACCGGAATGACCAGTTAAGAAACTTGATATTTCAGGAGGCAGGAAAACAAAGATGACAGACGGAAGAACGCCAGGAAGGCGGAAACGATCCTTTAAAAGTGCGATATCCACTGCGGACCTAAACTACGTCATTTTTTTCCAACGATTGTGTTTTCCGAAATATTCACTGCCAACCTCTGGATTCTATACGGAAGAAGAAGGAAGACGATCGTCAGAAAAATGTCGGGAACGATTGGTTGAAATCACCTGACATGAGAGAGACTAAGAGAAATAGGAACACCGCCCCTCATGCCCAATTTTAGGTTTATATCACAATTTGCACTATAGTTTTTAGCAAAAACCATAAAACAGAGGCCCGTTAGGCAGCCAACTTGAAAAATTGCCGCCATGTTGAATTTTTTCGTGAAGAATCCTAGCAAAACTTTTTTTTTCTGAATAAGTGACCTATCAGGAAGACTCATGCCAAATTCCATGCTTATCTCGCAATTTGCACGATTGTATCCAAAATTTACATTTTTCCTGTTCCAATACTAGACTTTATTAATTTAAGCGTAATAATGTAATTGCGACCAGGTAAAATCATTTTACAGTTGAAATAAGTGTTTTCTAACAGTTTCTTCTCTCGTTTGACGTGAAACAAGATGACCAAAATAATTTTAATGATAATAATAATAATAAAGCAAATGCTTTTATAGTCACAGAACCCTACACGTTTTG